AGGCCTGTTCCATCTGTGGCAGGTCTTTGGATCCACACAACACCCTGCACTGAGTGACTGCAATATCATCCATGTCAGAGAGGAAGAAATGAGGCCCAGACAGGTAGGGCCCTTCGCCAACAGCCTTACCGATAAATCACAGCAGAGGAGCTGGAATCTGAACCCAGGCAGACGGCCGCAGAGCACCCAGGCTCGACCAGCTGTGAGCAGCCACAGGGAGCGCCCACTCCGGGTGCCAGGCTGACCCTCCCCCCCCAACCATCCTCGCTTTCATCAGAATGATTGCTTAGGTAAACATTGTTTTTCTGATTACAAAAATATTGCCAGCTTGTAATTTTTAAAGAGGAATTCAATAAAGAAATCGACACAGTAGAAAGAAATAATTTCTCAGAGCAGCGCTCCCCGGAGGATACCACTCTTAATGTGGTTCCTGTCGGCGCCAGAATTTCTTCTTGGTGTATAGAGCTGAGCACTTGTCATTTTGTATCAAGACACCGTGTGACTGACTGACCGATAGGTAGGTAGGTAGATAGACGTAGACAGTGATAGATATGGAGGTAGACAGAGATATGTGGATAGACATAGAAAGAGATATAGACAGACAATGATATAGATTTGTCTTTTTACTTGTTTTTTTCTAGACTGATCTTTTAAAAACACAGCTTGGACCCCATCCTCCAAACCTGTGACCCTCCAGATCAAATCCCCACTCCATGGTTCCAGGCCATTGTTCCTATGGCCCCTTTAGCTCTGCCCGCCCCCATCCCTTCCACTGGCCTCCGCCCTCAGGCTCTCCTCACACCAAGGTACCAGCCTGGTGCCCACCTCCCTTCACTGACCTGCGCTTGTCTTGTCGGAAGCAGCGTTAGCCCCGTGCCCACTTCTGCCCACACCGCGTGTGTAGTGTTTGTCCACTCGGACCTGCTTTTAGGGGAACTCTTATGGGGAGGATGGGGGAGGGGGGCTTGACAAAGGTAGAGACTGAGGATTGGGGGTGGGGTGCGATTGTGTCAGGGTGGTCCGAGGAGGTGGCGTTTAAGCCAAGTACTGGATGACAGGAAGGTGGGGGAGCGTGGTCCTGTGGAGAGAATAGCAAGTGCAAAGGCCTGAGGCGGGAATGCGCTGTCCTCGGTGTGGCCTGAGCACCGTGACCAGGGCAGGGGAGAGACGTGCAATCTAATCAGGGATCGCCTGTCTCTCTGTGAGTTGTGTTTAGGGCAGATTATCAACTGCAGCACCACCAGCGTTAGCACCGCGGCCAGCTGTAGAGGAGTTGGTGGAGTCCGTGCAAGGGATGAAGCCAGGAGCGTTGCTGAATGGCTTCACATTCGCACCAGAGGGAAGAGGGGTCCTCAAAGGGCATCCCTTCACTCCATTCCCCCCCCCCCTTAAGTCCTGCACAACCACCTTTGTGTGCCCGGATTCTAGATGCCAGAGGAACACAACAGGGAACCAGACCAAAAAGTCCTTGTCCCCTTGGAGATGACTCTGGTGGGGAGACAGACAAAAAGATGTGTGTTTTGTCAGGTTGTGATAAGGGTGACAAAAAAATGCAGCTGGAGAGGGAGTCAGATGTGGGTGGAGGGGTGTGCTTTTTCGATAAATGAGAGAAACTCGCACACAATGGGAAGGGAGCCCAGGGCTGAGGTAGGCAGGATCTGGGGAAGGAAGAGCCTTCTAGACACGTGGACCGGCAAGTGCCAAGACCCTGCGGTCAGAACGTGCTCCTATTCCAGAAAGGCCAGAGCAGTGGTAAGAGCAAGGGGAGCGGGCGGAGTGGGCAGGGCGCACGAGTGGCACTCAGCCATGGGATTGACCTTGCTGTTGGGGAGCAGAACAGGGTTGGAGGGGGAGGGGGGCTCTGAGCCAAACCCTGATCCCTGCCCCTGATCCCCCCATCTCCCACTCTCCATCCCCCCACACAGAAAATCAGCAGAGCAGGGTTCCCCTGGGCAGACTCAGGGAGAATAGCTTCTTCAGTACCCTGGAGATGACCAGAGAGACATAGCCAAAAATTCGGTAATTTCACCGCATGCTCTGCACAAAAATCGTATCTATTTTAATCACGTGTACATGCTTTCATAAAGTTTTGTTTTTGAGATTTTATTTATTTACTTTTAGAGAGAGGGGAAGGCAGGGAGAAATAGAGGAAGAGAAACACCAATGTGTGGTCGCCTTTCTTTCATGCCCCCACCACTGGGGACCTGGCCTGCAACCCAGGCACGTGCCCTGACTGGGAATCAAACTGGCGACCCTTTGCTTCACAGTCTGGCTCAGTCCACTGAGCCACACCAGCCAGGGCTCTTTTGTAAAGTTTTTGATTTAAAAAATATAGAGGCCCTGGCTGGTGCGGCTCAGTTGGTTGGAGAGCCTTTCCGGAACCGAGGGGTTTATTCCTGGTCAGGGCATGTCCGGGAGGCAGCCAATTGATACTTCTCTCTCACATCAATATTTCTCTCTCTCCCTTCCTCTTTCCCTTCCTCTTTTTCTAAAAGCAAAAAAAAAAGTCCTTGGGTGATGAAAAATAATTTTTTAACTTTATTTTTTTCATTTGTTTATTTTTAGAGAGAAGGGGAGGAAGGGACAGGGAGAGAAACATCAATGTGTGGTTGCCTGTCACATGCCCCCTACTGGGGACCTGACCAGCAACCCAGGCGTGTGCCCCGACTCTGGGAACAGAACTGATAGAACTGGTGACCGTTTGAGCCTTTGGTTCGCAGGCCGGCACTCAATTCACTGAGCTACACCAGCGAGGGTGAAACAAATAATAATTATATATATGCGCATATACATAGACACATACACATACATATATATAAAATATGAACACCTTAAGATTTTATAAAATGGTATCAGTAGTATCCCATGTTTCTAAAGACAAATGTTAGTGTAGCAAAAGCAACAGAAAAGAAAACTTAATGCATAGTTATTCTCCAGGCAGAGAAATTACTGGAGACTATAATCGTTTTCTTTACACTTTTCAGCATTTTGCTACTTTTCTATAAAAACCACATATTACAATAAAATGTTTAAAATGTATAGAAAGCATAGATTACCCCAAAAACACTCCTGTAGCAACCACAGAAAGAAGCAAATGTTAACATCTGGTCCTCATTGGCTCTGATCATTTTTTTTCCTTTTTTGTAAAAGAAAAGAGTAAGGATGAAGTTGAAGCACCTTTCCCAAGCCCCTCTGTCCCCAAGCCGCAATTCTGTTCCCACCCCCAAAACCAACCACTGCCCTGAGTCTGCAGTGAGGTTCCCGTCCCTGTATTTACCTCTGACCACAATCTGGTTAAGAGGAAGTCTGTACTCGTTCTGCTGGCAAAATAACCAACAGCGCTTTCTAACAAAACTCCAAACAGTGCATAAATTATAAAATAGAGAAAGAACACCCCACCCGACCTCCAAAGAAAGGAGCGTGATTGATGGCTATCACACAAATTTCTCAAGCATGTCGGCCCAGCCCCAGCGGGGTGGGTTTTCTTATCTGCCCTGTGTCAGCCAGCCCTGGGCAGGCAGTGGGTGCTCAATACATGTTGAAAACATTTTTCAGTTGCTTGGATTATACTCATTTTCAAGTAAACTTCTTGAATGTGGAATATTTTTGATTTACAGGAAAGTTGCAAAGACCAGTACAAAGAGCTCAGACGTGCTGGTCCCTGTTTCCCCTGGGGCTAACAACTCCTAGAACTGTTCCGGAGGAACTCCCAGAAATGAGGTTCTTCCTGCCAACGAAGTAAAGAATTAAAGCTCAGCAAGTGTCTTAATATACAAGCAGGGTGTATTAGTGATGTGTTCTCTCCTAGTGAAGGTTGGGGTGGGAGGCCGAAAGGCACAGTTTCGGGGTGAAGCAGGGTAAGGGTGGCAAAGGTAAGAGCCGCCAAAGGCCAGGGTGGCAAGCGCAGGGGTGGTGGGGACCGAGGGCTAGGGTGGCCAACACCCCTGTGGCCAGAGGCCAGAGAGCCCAGAGCCCCAAGCCCTCCAAGCCTTTGCCCTGAGGACTTACACAGTTGGTGGGAATGGGGCGAGAGGGAAGAAGTTTCATATTGGTTGACAGGTAAAGGTGATGCTGGCTTTTCCAGGAAGGGGCGTGAATACCCCAAAGTATTGATGGGCTTCTTCCTTTCCAGCCTTTCAGGCCTTGGATGAAGCACAGTTTCAAAGGCTTTCTTCCCCAGATGATGGAAAAGACACGTAGAATCTCAAGGACTGCTGAGTCAGTGGGTGGGACATGTATCCCTCCTCCTCCCTGCCTTTGTTTGCTATCTGTCGTAACTATCCGGACCATGATCCACCTGGAACTAAGAAATTAGGTTTCTTCGCTGTGTTAGAAATCACGACACTCCCGGCTTTATTTGGGTGTCACCAGTTTTTGCAGCGAGGCTCCTGGCCCAGGATTCCACATTTCACTGTGTCCTCACGTCTGCTGGGTCTCACCCAGCCTGCCACAGCTCCTCCGACCTCCTTCTTTCTCATGACTGGGTCATGCTTTGCAGAGCACTGGGCAGGTCTTCTGTGGAACACCCCTCAGGTGGGGTGTTACTGGTACTGTCCTCATCATTAGCCTGTGGTTACCTGTTGCTGGAAGAAACCCACAGGGGGGAGATGCCCCTCTTACTTCGTTAAGTCGGGGCCACCACTAGAGGGTTAGGCAGGGCCAGCCGGTTACGTGGTGTCTGCCAGGTGTCTCCACTATAAAGGGCCCGCCTTTTCCTTTTCCGTATTTGATTCATTGGATGAGTCAATAACTCTTTTCATTTCTCTCCACTCAAAAGGAGGCTGGAAGGATTGCATTCTAGCTCCTAGAGGGGCCCTTCAACTTAACATGATTTGGAATTCTTTCTAAGGGAGATTTGACTCTTTTTGCCCTCACACCCATTTTAAAGACCCGGAGACTGAGGTTGAAGACGACAGACTTCCTGGTTAGAGGGTGGCCCAGCCCAGGGTGAAGCCCCACCCAGAGCCGGATCAGGGCTGCAGGCGCCCCAAGTGTGAAGGCAGGCGGCGACTCTGGGCCCGCATGGGGGGAAGGGGAAGAAATTGGGTCCCCCAAGTGCGTCTCGGGGCCCCAGTAGTTGGGTATGGGCCGCCCTCTGAGGGGCTCGCCCGATTTTCCAACTGAGCAGCCTGCACAGGGAGGGGTGGAGCGGCGCTGGGTGGCCCAGCAGGATTCCGGGGCGTGGCCAGCGGGCCAGGTGGGGAGCGCTGGGCCCCTGGGCCCCGGAGGTCACCTGGGTCGGCCCTGAGCCCGCGGGCAGGGCAGGTGGACCCCTGCCACCCGAAAACCAGGCAGTCTGACTGTGAGCGCCCCGCACTTCGGCAGCTGGGCTCCCCTGGCACCTGGCGTTGACCTCGACCCCGGCCCCGCCGCCAACCGAAGGTGAGACCGGTCCTGCAGGTGCAGACGTGCTGGCCGCCTCCCATGGGAGGGGTCTCCCCCTGTTCTCGTGACCCGCTTCCTGTTTTACTGGCTGCAGCGAGGGACAGCCCGCCGGGGCTGGGCGACCCAGACGTTGAATGAGGGGCCCCTCTCCACCCCGGAAAGGGACTGCAGGGACCAGCATAAGTGTGCGGGGCGCTCATTAGGAGGGAAGAGGGAGACAGGGAGGCGAGGGGCGGGTCCGACGGGCCACACGTGCGGGGACCCCAGTGCCCAGCCCCTGCCCACCTGCCCTCAGAGGCTGGGGCCACCTGGACAGCCTACAGGCAGCTGCGGGGGGCGGGGATCAAAGTCAAAAGTCTGCGGTCACATGCCAGAGTCATCTGCCGCCTCCTGCTTGGGTTCCTCCTGCGGGAATGGGGGTGGGGAGCAGAGGAAGGTGTGGGCACCACTTCCCGGAAAAGGGAGACCCTGCTGACTGGGGCGAGGGGTGACCCTGGGACACACACTTAGACACACACAGGTTGTCAAACACACCACACACACCATACACACAACTCGAGACACAACACAGACCACACAACAGGACCCAGGCACAGAGCTGGGACACCCGAGTCGTCATCCCACACAGTGGCAGCAGAGAACTCCACTGCACACCGGACACGCGGGCCTTGCCAGCTCAGCCTCCGCATCCACGGGGACGCGGCACACCTATGACCGGGCGGGTGCCCCGGCTACACGGCAAGCAGCTCGGACACACCCAGACACGGGCAGACGGACATGTCCTTGGAGAATGTGGACACACAAAAGGTCCGTCTGGCTGGGGCACACCCAGCACACAAGGAAACGGCCTGCGAACTACTGCACAAAGGAGCTCCTCTGGACAGAGGCCGTGGGGTAGGCGGGGCGGCACGTGTGTGCCCGACCGGACCCCAGCCGTCGTCCAGGGCTGGGGAACTGCAAGGCTCACATGACCCCAGGGGAGGGCCGTGGTCCCGGAGAAACTGCATCATCCCCACTGATGATCCAGTTCTGTCCCAGAGAATAAAGGCTCAGTGGCCCTTGCCAGTTCTGCCCTGTAACTCACCTGCCTCTTGGAGCACCCAGCTGACTGGCTTGTGCCTCCACCAGGGTGAGTGCTGGGTCCGGGATGAGGGAGGGCAGGGTGAGCCTGCATGGCCACCTTCCTGGCCCCTAGCTGGACCCCGCCCAATGCTCACCCTCCCAGCCAACTTTGCCCTGAAGTCCTGAGAACTAGGGCACCCCCGGGGGGGTTCCCACTGGGCCAGAGCAGGGCAAGTGGATGTCTCAAGAGCCTCCTGCCCATGCCTCAGCCCCAGGCCTCCAGACACTTGTCTCTCCCCTCCCAGATGGACACAAGGACAGTGCTACTCATCCTGCAAGCCTTGCTGGTGCTCCCCCTGGCTGATGGCACTGCCCCCGTCCTGCGCTTTGTGGCTGTGGGTGACTGGGGAGGGGTCCCCAATGCCCCGTTCTATACAGCCCGGGAAACGGCCAATGCCAAGGAGATTGCTAGGACAGCAAAGATCCTGGGCGCAGACTTCATCCTGTCACTGGGGGACAATTTCTACTTCACGGGCGTGCAGGATGCCAACGACAAGAGGTTCCAGGTGTGTGCCACTCGAGTGGGGGTGGGGACACGGGAGAAGCCACTCAACCTTTCGACTGAAGAACGCAGAGGGAAGCTGACACTCGTGGGGACCTAGAGCACTCAGCGTCTCTCTGGTCCCCGGCTCCTGGCTTGCTGGGAGCATTGAGGTGGCTGCTCGACCCTGGGGTTGGGGTGCCCTTTCTGTCTGCTGCAGGAGACTTTCGAGGATGTGTTCTCTGACCCCTCCCTCCGCAACGTGCCCTGGTATGTGCTGGCTGGCAACCACGACCATCTGGGCAACGTCTCAGCACAAATCGCCTACTCCAAGATCTCCAAGCGCTGGTGAGCCTGCTCCCCTCCCGTCCCTTAGGCCTTGTGGACAGAGGGGCCCACTGGCCTGCTCGGACCCTGGGCCTCACTGCACAGCATCCGCCATCTGCGTCTCCTCTGCAGGAACTTCCCCAGTCCTTACTACCGCCTGCGCTTCAAGATCCCGCAGTCCAATGTGACCGTGGCCATCTTCATGCTGGACACAGTGACATTGTGTGGCAACTCAGATGACTTCCTCAGCCAGCAGCCACAGAGGCCCCGTGACTTAAAGATGGCCCGTTCGCAGCTGTCCTGGCTCAAGAAGCAGCTGGCGGCGGCCAAGGAGGATTATGTGCTGGTGGCTGGCCACTACCCAGTGTGGTCCATTGCTGAGCACGGGCCCACCCACTGCCTGGTCCGTCACCTGCTGCCACTGCTGGCCACGTACAAGGTCACTGCCTACCTGTGTGGCCATGACCACAACCTGCAGGTGAGGGGCCTGCAGGTGGTCAGGGTGGGGAGCCAGGTAAGGGATCCCACCCGGGTTCATGTGCCGCATGGCACATTGGGATCCTCCTGGTGTTTGGAGGTCTCTCAAATGTCACTCCCCCTCAAACTCCATGCTTTTTAACCAGGAAGATAACCCAAAGTTCCCTAAAAGCCATCATAATAGCTACCAGTTGCCAGTAACTTGCTTAGTGCAGGTCTGTGAAGCAGGATCAATACACTCCTACAGGTGGGGAAACCGAGAACCAAAAGGGATTTATGTTCCTTGCCCAAGGTGACTCGAGACCCTGGACTCAAGACAGGTGGGCACAAAGCCCAGGACTGACCTCGCTGAGGGGCTGGGGGCCCACTAACCCTGAGTCCTCCATCCACAGTACCTTCAGGATGAGGACGGCATCGGCTACGTACTGAGCGGGGCCGGGAACTTCATGGACCCCTCGAAGAGGCACTTTCGCAAGGTTCCCAGTGGCTACCTGCGCTTCCACTACGGGGTGGAGAACTCACTGGGCGGGTTTGCCTACGTGGAGATCAGCCCCAAAGAGATGAGCGTCACTTACATCGAGGCCTCCGGCAAGTCCCTCTTCAAGACCAGGCTGCCAAGGCAAGCCAGGCTCAAGTGGCTGTGAGGGGCCTACGGCAGAAGGGCTTCGCCACCCGTGGGGCAGGGGGCCCCTCTGAGACCCTTGCCCCTTGACAGGCCTTTCTCAGGGGCCTGTGGTCCAGCTGAGCCAGAAGGAAAACCACATATGCTCTTGAACCTGACATCCTTCTGTCATTGCCCAACATTCAATAAAACAACAGATGCAAGGCTGCAAGTGTGTCGTGAGTGTCCCTTTGCTCACCTGTCTGGTGAGTTGTGACACCTGGGTTCTAGAGTGTCCGGTTGCCCGCCCTGCTAGACAGCACCTTCACCTCTTAACCTGCCTTCCACAACCAACTGGCCCCATACAGGGACGTGATTTTAAGTAGAGACCAAACAGAAAAAGGGTACAACGCACAAGCCTTCCTGTCCCAGCCCACCTCCCGAGGGGCAGCCACTGCCAGCACTGCCTTTCCTTCCCCAGCTGAATGCCTCCATCACAGAAACATCCTCCTTTACGCAAAGCAGCACAATATCCGCTGCATGTGTTTAACCACAGCTCTTCTTTCTACTTAAACCACAACTCAACCGTTCTTGACAGGATGCTCGTTTTGTTCATTTCAACACGGGGATTGTTGACATGATTTTATGGCTTTTATAGCCAAGTGAGATCTCTCTCCCCTTCCCTGTCTTTCCCTCCCCCTCTCTTAAAAAAGAATAACTTTTTATAAATGCATTTTTTTTCCTTCTAGTATTTTTCCGTGCAAATAAAAGCAAACAGGAATGGTTTCTTCCCTCCCTTCTCACTGATCTGTCTGTATCTTGCTTTTTTGTTTTCGTTTTTCCAAACAAATTTATTTAGGTGTAATTGACACATTTCAAGTGTACAGTTCCATAAGTTTTGACAAATATACACACCCACAAACCCTCACCACAACTAAGATATAAGCATGTTTCACACCCGCAAAAGTGCTCTCTGTACTGTCCTGTTCCCGTCTGCTTTACCTGGAGATCGTCCATCAGCTCTCTGTGGCTTCTGGCTCCTCTGCAGCTACGGAGACCCCACTGCGTGCCTGACCCACTGCCTACCAACCAGACATCTCCTGACAGGGGTGTCCAAACCTTTGGCGCTTCTGGGACACCCTGGAAGACGGAGAGTTGTCTCAGGCCACACATTATATACACAAACATAAACGAAAACTGATGAGCAAAAAAAAAAAAGGTTTTAAGTGAATTTACGATGTTGTGTTGGTTCACATTCATAGCCAACCTGGGCTGCATGTGGCCCTCAGACTTCGGGTTGGACACCCCTGGAAGGATCGCCAGCATTGCTTCCAGCAGTTTTGCTCTCCTCAAACAGCACTGCAACAGGTGATCCTGTCCCTGTGTCCTACATGGGCAAATGTGTTTGTAGGATAAGCAAGAGGAGGACTGAGCTTCTTTTTAACAGCCATGGAGCTTCCACCTATGTCTCTGGCTCCTTGCTGGGGCTCACTGAAATCTCCAGTCTTTCCCTTTTACCAACATACCCAGAGTGGGCATTCCTGGACCCATGCTTTTGCACACCTGTGCAACTGTGTATGTAGGAAAACTTCCAGAAGTGGAATTTTTCAGGGCCTGTTTCTTACGATGAATGCTGAAAGCAGAATGTGCATCCTGAGCTGAAGCTGCAGAGAAGCCCAGTTCCCCTTCCGGGGAGAGTTGAGTAACACCCACCCACAACAGCAGATGAGTCACAGAAAACCTCTCCCTTGGCCCGCACTCAACTGCCACTTCAGCTGCCAGCCTAGATGAATGAAATGAAATCGCCTGGACAAAACCTAATTGAGGTTACTGCTGGGGAGAGGAGTTTGGTGAAGGGGCGCCTTCCATTCCCTACTTTAGAGATATCCATAGTGTCAAATTTGTTACAAGGTGCAAGTGTTACTGCTAAAATTAAGCAAAGCTATCTTACCCAAAGACCAGCCCTGAGTTCCTTCCAGCTGTTGTTTACCTGGCTGGCGTTACTACCACACACACTCTATGCAAAAACAAGCAAACAAACAACCACCATCATTTCTAATTCTGACTCACGAGGGAAGGGACATAATCTTGATTCTCAAAGGACATTACAGAAACTGAACAGATTAAGTGCCCAAGGTCAGGTCCAGGAAGTATCAGACCCTCAATCTTCACCGCAGCAGTCAAAGCAGCTCATGGCCACACTGCCTCTTCCCACTGACTCAGAGGTTCTGAGCAGGAAGGCGTCTGAATCAGAGATCAGCCCAATATCCCCACTGGCAGGGCTCAAAGCGTGGAATCAGCCCAGCGTCCCAGTTCACAGGGCCCAGAGCCTGGAAAGGAGAAGTGACACATCAGAGCTGACACTGGGAATGTGTGGCAGGGATAGGGTTGGCCCCCTCCTCCATGACGACCAAGCACTTCTACTAGGAACCAAGGACCAAGGCCCATGCCAGACAGGGGACACAGGAGCACGAAAAACAATAAGGCAGGGTAGACTTTCACCCTCAGAGGACCTCTGTCTGGCTCAGGGAACAATGCCAACCAGTACCTAGCCATCGTTATAAAGATGCTTTCTGAACTGACAGAGCTCCTCAAGGCCAGTCACAGGGACTCATCTCTTCTCACTCTTCCCAAGCGAGCACATCTGATTCAATTGTCACAACTATTACCATGTCCCCACCCTACTCTTCACACCACGTGCTGGCCTGGGCACCAGCTGGCCTGGGCACCAGCACCCTCAAGCAGCAAGCAGGTTTTCCCAGGAGAATCATGCCACACCCACCTCCTCACCTGCTTCCAAGTCCAAGAATTACAAATAAGGTGAGAGACCTGCATGACTTTGGCTCTGGGAAAAGGTCCAGAGGGAATCCAGAAAAAAAACTCAAGAACACACCAGAACATGATGTAGGTTGAAGGTGGTATTGCAATTTCACAGGAAAGGTATAATTTGCCTTGTTGGTTTTCCCAGAGGGAGATAGAGCCTGAATCCTACTTCCAACCATATACAAGAATAAATTCCGAAAGGATCACATATTGCAGTGTAAAAATAGAACAGAATAGGAGATGAACATGAGCATCCCCACGAAGATCTGAATGAGACAGATCGCGAGAGCTCTGTTCATCATTGTCCCCAAACTGGAAACCAACCCAAATGTCCATCAATAGTTGAAAGGATGAACAAGTTGCTATGTCCTCATAATGGAATACAACTCAACGATAAAAAAGAACAAACTATGGAGACACAACATGGACTTGAAGGTAGTAAGCCGAGTAAAAGAAGCCAAACTCAAAAGGCTAGACATTGTTATTCTGTTTATGTGACTTTCTGAAAAAATACAAAGCTATAGGAGCTAAAAACAGATAGGTTGGTGTCAGGGGTTGGGGGCAGGGAAGGAACTGACTACAAAAAGACAAGAGGAAACTTCTTGGGGTGATGAAAACATTCACTATTTTGATTGTGGTGGTGGTTTCACAGGTATATGCATAGGTCAAGACATAAAGTTCCATGTTTAAATACACGCAGTTCATTGTCTGTGGATTATGTCTCAATAAAGCTGTGAAGGAAGGGAGGGAGGGAGGAAAAACTAACCTGGCACTCTTCAGCAAGTAGAGGATTGCCCAGATACTGTGACAGAGTTGTACTATGATGTATAGCTATTGAAAACAACAGTTGCCTGTATGTACGTTGACCATTAAGTGAAAACAGCAAGTTGCAAAGCACTGTTTATTGTATGATCCTATCCTGTGTGTGTCCAGGTTTGTAACCTGAACTGAGAAGGGGTCTACCAGAAAGCCACTTCCGAGGCTAATGCTTCCCCCTAGTGGAAGTGCTGGAGATAGGTCTATTATTATACATCTCTTTACAAGTTACATTCCCGAACGCTAAGGAAACCGCTGTTATCAAGGTCACCAGTGACCAAACGCTGAATTGTAGTAAGATCCGCAGGTCCTTGTTAAATCTTGAGAAGAGGGTCTTACAAACTCCCCCCTCACTCTGATTCAGCCACACGAGTATTTACAATTCCTTAGCACCCAGATATTTTATGTATCCCACGCTGCAGAGACTTGGGTGGGCTGCGAGGGGCTGGTGTTTGAATCCCCTCGAAGATGATGCGATCGCGGACAAGCATACCTTCCCACCTGTGGGATTGCCTGTCCCATCGCCCCAGAAACGCAGGAATGCCCACCCCGGGGTGTGACCAGAAGTACTGTCCTCGGGCTTGGCTACAGTCAAACAAGCTCCAGCCCTCGCGCAGGCGCACTGCAAAACTCCCGCGGGCCCCCTCCCTCCCACCGCGATATGCGTACGCATGCGCACATAGATGAAGGAGGCGGGTCCTGCTCGCTAGGCTATCCTGGCTGCGGTTGGGTAGGATGGGAGGGGAGGGGAGGAGGTTCCGCTTCCGCCGAGAGCCGGAAGTTACTGTCTCCGGGGTGAACGCGGCTGTCGCAACGAGGGAAGGAGAGTGCTGGTGAGTATTCGTGCCGTAGGGTTTTGGAGCTGAGCAGGACTAGGTGCTCTTCAACTCGGGGCCGCTCACGGGGTCCTGGAGGAGGTGCCGATGGCCCTGGGCTTGGAGGGTGGTCCTTCAGAGATCTTGACTCCTCCGGGTCCTAGCCGGCTAAGCGCGGCTTCTTGGAAGCCTGGCTTCTACCGGCGGGAGGTACCTCGAAAGCTTTGGAGAGCCTGGTGGGACCGCCCACACTCCCGCCTCTTGAGTCACAACTGGATCGGGGGCCCACCCCTTTTCCTCCCTCCCTCGGCGCGCTTGGAATTACGTCGCTGTTACGGAAAGGACAGGCCAAGACCCCTGGGGTTTTATAGGCCGGCCGGCCGGCCTCCTTTTCTAGTGTGGGGGTGGGATATTGTAGTCACCAGGTAAAATGACATTTGGAGGCCTATCTGTAGCTTCTGATTCAGGGGACTCTTTTTTCATTCAACATATTGTGACTCAGGCCTTGGCCTGGTAGCTCAGTTAGAGTGTCCCAACATGCCAAGGTCGTGGGTTCTGTCTCTGGTCAGGGCACATACAAGAATCAACCAAGGAATGCATAAATAACAACAAATTGATGTCTGGCCCCCTCTCTCTGGCCCCCTCCTTTCGCTCTCTCTCAAATCAGCAAATTTTAAAAGTAGTTACTAAGCACTTAATGCATACTAAGCACTGTGCGTGCTGTGGCTTCAGCAGTGTGCAAATGATGCCCCATCCCCGCCTTCCAGAACTGACATTCCAGTCGGGGGAGGTCTGGGGGGGATGTTCAGAAATCAGCCTTTTTTGAAGATCCACCCCCCCGCCCCAGATGATTCTGTTGTAAATGATACCCAGGACCAGGCTTTGGATAAAACACAGCCCTGGCTGGTGAAAGCATGGGCTACAGAACTGACTGCACCTTACAAAAGCCTGCACGTTCTTGTGGGGTCTGTTTCTTACCTCTTCTGTCACATCTCATATCCATTCTCCCATTGTTCACCCAGCTTGAGCTATACAGCCTTCTTGCTCTTTCTCAAGGAAAGCTTCTGCCTCGAGCCTTTGCAGTTGCTGTTCCCTCTGCCTGGACTACCTTGCATGATGCCTTCTCCTCATTCCGGCCTCACTTGTGACTTACCCAGAAGGTCCTTCCCACTCTACCCTCATCTGAAGTAGCCCCATTCTGGGGCTACCTAGCCCTGGTATTCACCTCATAGGACTTAACAATATTTGGAATGATTTCACTTATAAACTTGTTAAGGGTCTGTCTCCATCCACTACAAGAAAGTTTCACAAGAACATATACCTCGCCTGCTTTGATTGCAGCATTGCTGTGGCTTGGCGTAGGGCCTGGCGTTGTTTTTGGTTCATTTGCTGAGTGCCAGTTCTGTGCTATGAGCAGTTCTTGGCCCTGAGGATACAAAGAAAAGACCAAAGTCCCCGCCCTCATTGAATTTACCTGTGGAATTTGGGCTGGAGATGCAAGGAGACCACTGAGGAGGCTGTTGTGATCATCGGGGCCAGAGATGACCAGGGCTCCAGACTCAGACCTGGGCACTGGCCCTGGAGGTGGTAAAAAGTGGTCAGCAAAATAAGGGTCAGATAAGGGCTATGTGAGAGAGGGAGGAACCAAGGATGAGTCCAAGGTTTTGGCAAAGGTGGATTTGCCATCTGCTGAGATGGGAAAGACAGTGAGAAATCAAGTTGAGGTTTCAGGAGCTCAGTTTTGGACAGGTTACATTTAAGTGTTGTTAGCATCAGGTGGAGATGTAGCTAAAACAAGTAGACAAGCGAGTCTTTGGTTCAAAGGAGACATCAAAGCTAGAGAGGCAGGTGGCATCAGTGTAGAGGAGGCATTTAAAGCCCTTAGGCGGGTGAGATCTTGGAGATGCTTGTAGATGGAGAGAGGAGGGGCCCAAAGATTGAGCTTGGGGACTCATATCATTGGGGGCGGGGGTCAGCAGCAGAGAGTGAAAGGAACTGCCGGTGAGTCAGGGGTAGTAGAGTACAGGTTTCTGAAGGCCATGAGGGAAGGGCAGCAGGGAACCGGTGTGTGTGTCCAGTGCCCTGAAGAATGGGGACTGCCCCTTGGGGTGGGCAGCACGGGGCAGGTGGCGGAGAGAGAATGGGAGGGAACACCGAGGGTAAGTGCAGACGGTGTTGTAGACAATCGGCGGGTAAATACACACTCTCGGAGTCCGGAACCGAATTGATAAAAATTTTAATGGCCAAAGATTTTCTTGCGCAGGGGCGAACTTCCCCAACTGTGACCGGAGTCACGTAGCTACTCAGAGTTACAAAATGGAAGTCGCGCCTGGCTTACAGATTACCGGGTATTTATATTTTCTAGCAAGCAAGCAAAGGCATACAGAAGCAGAGGTGGCGGTTAGCTATTGGCTTATTTAAAAACGGCGAGGGTCCCTGATTGGTGGGTGCTGCTGCTGGCGGGCCCTTTCTGGCGGGCCGGGTTAGTTACCTTATTTGGCTAGAATTTTAAACCCAATTGTTCCCTGATGTTTGTTCATTACCCTGTTCCAGGAACTGCAGATTTAGGATTGGGTAATGCCCTAGCTGTAATTTTCCTAGCTGGGTATAACAACGGCTATACAAGACAAACCTACAGAGAAGGAGGTGTTTTGGTTTTTAATGATGGGAGAGGTAGTAGAGTGTTTGTTGTTGGTCCAGTAGAGAGAGAGAGAATATGAGGCAGGGATCCAGGGCACAGACCATTCCTGTGGGCACCACCGGCATTCTTCCAGGGCAAAGAAGGGAAGGCCAGATGGGTGGTCCTGGGGGCCTGTAGATGTTCTTTGCCACCTACTTCTGTTTACTCAGTGGCTTGTAAGCCTCCTCAGTTAAGAATGAGGATGTTGAGCCTTGGCTGGTGTGGCTCCGTGGACTGAGTGCTGACCTGCAAACCAAAGGTTCGCTGGTTTGATTCCCAGTCAGGGCACATGCCCGATTGGTAGGCCGGGTCCCCAGTAGGGGGGCCGGGTGGGCCGGGTCCCCAGTAGGGGGCAACCACACATTGATGTTTCTCTGCCTCTCTTTCTCCCTCCCTTCCCCTCTCTAAAAATAAATAAATAAGTAAAGTTTTTTTAAAAAACAAAAAGAAGGAGGATGTTGAAACAGCATGGATGGACCTAGAAGGTATTATGCTAAGTGAAATAAGCCAGTCAGAGAAAGACAAATACCATATGATTTCACTTGAATGTGGAATCTAAAGAACAAAATAAATAAACAAACGAACAGAAACAGACTCCTAAATGCAGAGAACAGACCGATGGTTGCCAGAGGGGAGGGGGTGTGGAGGATGGGTGGAAAAGGTAAAGAGATTGAGAAGTATAGATGGGTAGTTACAAAATAATTATGAGGATGTAAAGCACAGCATAGGAAATATAGTCAATAATATTGTAATACATATGTGTGGTGCCAGGTGGGTACTGGAAATATTAGGGGGACACTTTGTAAAGTATATAATTGTCTTACCCCTGTGCTGTACACTTGAAACTAATACAGAATAATATTGAATGTAAACTATAATTGAAAAAGTTTTTAAAAATTAAGAATAAGGATGTCACAAAGAAAGTGATTGTTTAATGTGAATGAAGCCCTGGCCTTTCGTCCTGCAGACTGCTGGCCTCTCCTGTCATGGAAGGATGATGCTAGAACCAGCAGTGGGAGAGAGGAGAACAGAGTGTGATTGGGGGTGGAGGGCACTCCTTGGAAGGTTCAGAGATGGTGAACACAGAGCCCCGAGCCCAGTGCCTGGCATGGAGATGTGCTCAGTGGTCGCTGCCTCCAGGGCATATGTCCCAGTGGCACCCGACCCCATCATTTTTATTCTCCCTCTGTGGTAAACATCAGAGTGATGCTACCTTCTCCCCCTGCCCACCAACTCTGTTGCCCACCTCAGCCTTGCAAGTTGTTCTGGACACTTCCTTCTCTAGCCATACTCACTCCGCCGACTTGTCTCCACAGTCTAGCCAGCTGCCCACTCTCCATCCCAGACGGTCCTGTCCCAGTTCCGACTTCATCTTCATCCAGACTTTTGACCCATACTTCTCCGAACCTTAAAAACACAGCAGTGTTGCTTCTCTCCTATGGCTGTCGGATCCAACTGAAACCCCGCCCGCTCCCTCTTCAGCCTGCCCACTCTCCCACCTGAGTGGTCCCGAGCCGCCAGCCCAGCACTCACATCCGCCCCTCAGCCTTGCACATGGCATTTCTCTGCTCGAAGCCCTTCTCTGTTCAGTAGCCCCACTTCTGTGGGTAGGCCGCCTGGGAGCACACTGGAGGTGTGTTCCATCCGGTCCCTTAGGTGCCATTCCTCCTGGGTGGTATGTGCATGTCTCTTGAGAAGAAGAGCAGCTGCTTCTAAAATCAATAAAGCCACTGGCTTCTGAGCACTTAGGCTCTGCCCAGCCCTGGGCAAGTGGCCTGTCAGAGAGTCCCTTGTGTCACCCTTCTCAGGAACTGGCTTCCTGTGCATGCGCTGAAAATGGACGGGCCGTACACTCTGTGGGCACTTACAATTTGTCGTGCCAGCCCCTTGGTGGTGGCAACCTCATCTCTATTTTATAAAGAAGGGAACTGAGGCACACATAGATTAAATAACCCACCTGAGGTCGTGTAGTAAGTGAGGATGCTGGGATTGGAATCCAGAACCTGTTTTCACCCATTCTGTCCAGAGTGCAGTGGGGTTGTCTGCTGTCCCCAGAGGGTGCCATTGTGTGGGTTCTCCCTTCACCACGGGCCAGCAGGACTGTCTTCCCAGCCTGCTTCCCAGAGCATCTGGAGGACTCCTCGTGGGTCTCATGAGTCGCTGGCTTTTTGCTCTCCCCACAGGTTCACCCTCCTGCAGACATGGGGCGCAGAAAGTCAAAACGGAAGCCGCCCCCAAAGAAGAAGATGACAGGCACCCTGGAGACCCAGTTCACCTGCCCCTTCTGCAACCATGAGAAATCTTGTGACGTGAAAATGTGAGTAGGGGATGGGGACCAGGAATCCTGCCTCGCTGGGCTCCCCTGCCCTCAGTTGGCACTTGGCTCCCTCATAGACACAGGCCTCTTTGCCCACCAGTCCCTTCATCCTCTCTCATTCCAGGGACCGTGCCCGTAACACTGGAGTCATCTCTTGTACCGTGTGCCTAGAGGAATTCCAGACTCCCATCACATGTATCCTTGGGGAACTTACTGTTTTCTGGGGGGTGGGGATGGGGTGGTCAGGGCTACCCTGCCCAGGGTGGGCTTACTCAAGGGCACCTGGCTAAGGGGAAGGGTGTAGAATGCAGCTCTGCCCCTGCTCTGTGCCAGGCCGTGGACTATAGGAATGGCTGCAACCTACTTGCTTAGGTGGGGTGACAGTGTGCAGGGCAGGGGTCTGGCTGACACCAGTGTGAGCAGCAGAGCTGTGTATGGGAAGGGGTTCGATGCTGGCAGTCACCCTTGACTTCAGTGGCTCAGATCTGTCAGAACCAGTGGACGTGTACAGCGATTGGATAGATGCCTGCGAGGCGGCCAATCAGTAGCAATGCAGAAGGCCCACCCCCTTGGCAGACCAGCTGCCATGGACCGGCCCACTGGGTACCATTCCAGAGACATTCCTGAGGTCCAGGGTGTGGGTCCAGGGCCCTTACAGCCGCGCGCGTGCGTGTGTGTGTGTGTGTGTGGTGGACGTGAGTGTGAATGTGTGGCTGCAAGTGTGGCCATGGAGGTGTGCTCATGGGCAGGGGCTGGAGTTGAGGGGTTTCTGGGCTCCAGGGGCCTGAACTGCCTCCTTCGGATCCAGAAGCCTTTGACTTGCTCCCTCTTTCGTCCCCTGACTGCCCTGGCTCCAGGGCCCTGGCTTCTTCCGGGGTCAATGTCCTAACATCCCAGGTGAGGGCAGGCCCTGCAGAGGCAGCCTCCTCACCCGCCTCCCCGGTACCTCACCCATCTGAACTGGACTGCCTGCCCTCTGCCTTCCAAGGACTGTGGCCTGGGGTTCAAAGCCACGGGCCCTTCAGCTGGGCCCTCAGAGGGTGGCTCTGGTTCATGTTTAGTTGCTTTTATAGAAGATGAAGGAGCTGGGTTGGGTCAACTGTTAGTCGCGGCCTTAAATAAAGCAGCTGATTCAAACTCCTGGCTCTCTTATTTCTGGGTTCTGCTCAGCCCCAGGGCTCAGTGAGAGGGGAGAGGAAGACTGATCTGGCAGGCCGTTGGAGACGGGGTTTGGTCAGTCCTTCAAACTGTCCAGCACTTGTCCACTAGTCAAGCATTCAGGGTGAAACTAGGCCACTGCTGGGCACAGGGGATCCCAGTGACCCCACAGGCATCTGGGCAAATATTTAGTTCCAGCGAGAAATGGGGCCCACAGAGCCTGGGGGTAGGGTCGGGGTGGTCAGGGAAGGCTTCCTGGCCTGAAGGAGGTCATGCCCAAGGGCTGCCCTGCGCCACTTGCTGCTCTCAGGCCTGCCTGCCCCACCCCTTTGTCCCAACAGCCACCCTGCGAGGCAAGTGCCCCAGGCTCGCGGATAAGGAAACAGGCCGGAGGGGAGATCGCAGGCCCAAGGTCCCACAGCCAGGAGGCAGCACAGCTGGTCCTTAAACACAGGACACCGGACACCTGGCTTCACAACCCAGGGTCCAGGCTGAGGGAACAGCTCTTGGTTTTGTGGGGGCTGGAGAGCTCTGGAGTAAGGGTCCACAAAAGGAACCTTTGTCCAAGGCTGGAAGCGGTGCCAGATGCAGGCGTGTGGGACAGTGTATGTTGGTCTCTGTACCTGTTCCTGGCACAGAGCTCCGAAAACCCTTGGAATTTCCAGGGTGGTCGCCCCAGATGGGGCTGCTTGGAACTTGGAGCCACACCCACCCACCACTGGGGAGGGAATAGGGGAGACTATTAAGCTCTCTAAAAACTTCAACAAGATTTGATGGATGCCTGAAACCTGTGTAATTTTATTAGACAGTGTCACCCCAATAAATTCAGCTTAAAAAATGAAAAGACTTGGTGAGCGTCCGGGTTGGTGAACACAGGGCCGTGCGAGGACGGTGCAGACGGAGAGGCTGCGCTCGGCCCTGTGTGGCCCCCCGTCTGCCGGGTCACGTCCTCCTACAATAAACCCATAGTCGAGTAAACAAAATGCTTCTCCGAGTTCTGTGAACTACTGCACTGAATTAATCAAGCCTGAGTTCATTGCTTGGTAACATCGGAAAGGGCCCACCTCTGAGTGTGGCTGATGGTGAGCATCCGGGCCCTGTGTGGTGCCTTCAGATGCTGTCCTGTGTACAGAGGTCGTGACACTCAGCAGCCTGGGGCAGGTGCCGCTCTGCCTCCTGGCCTCCTGTCCCTGAGCAGCAGGGGACCTGTGCTTTGGATTTCTTATTGGTACTATAGGAGGGATGATAGAACCTTCCTCCTGGGGCCATGCTGAGGGTGCAGGTGCCTAGCATGATCTGAGCGGCTCTGGGCCACACCCTGGGCACAGAGATGCGAACAGTCGAAGAAGATGCTGAGCTGGCAGGAAACCCTGACCACTAGACCCAACCACTGAGTCTGGCGTGCGCCCCCTGAGGTGCACCCTGCCTTGAGGTGCCCTTTCTGGTATTCCCACCTTCCCTCCAAGGCCCCAGGTAAGAAGCCAGAGGACATGGGCAGAGTGGCAGATGGGCCTGGGCTGGATTGCCTCTGGGGTCCAGGGAAAGGGGGCTCAGTCCTCTGGCATCCAGAGCCCGCCCTCCCCAGTCTCATACGCTGAGTGCTAATATGGTGCTGTTTTCCAGAGGAGGCAGGGCCCAGAGCCAGGCATGGATCCTCAGCATGGCTTCCCGAGCTGTCCCTGAGGGACCAGGACTCACAGTAGCCAGGCCAAGAGTGCCTGGAATCCGGTTTACAAGGCCCAGAGGGCCGTGTGTATCTGTGCATGTGGGTCTTCTGGTGTCTGCCCCTGCAGGTCCCTCATTTCCAGCCTTGCCATCTGCCCTGGGGAGGGGACGGGAGAAGGCTGCTCCCCTGCATGGCTGCCTCCTCTCCTTAGAACCCTGATGGTCGGCAGCATGCAAGAGGGGTGACGGGGGCCCATGTCACAGGAGATCAGGGTCCCCTCTAAAACAGTGAGGTTGGGGGCCTGTCCAGACTTCTAGGGTCCTAGAATGGCAGGCGAGACTGGGGGGTCAGCCCCAAGGAGAGGGCGGAGTGAGCTGGTCCACAAGGCAGCCGTGCCCTGCAGTTACTCCTGTTCCATGCTGGTCGGTAAAGGGCCGTTGCCCATCCTCACCCACCATGCTACCCCCTCTCACCACCACTAAAGGGTCCCCCTGCCCACGGGCACTCGGGGCCCAGCTTGTTCATTCTTACTGGTTGGTGCCAAATGGTGTCCTGTCTACAGGCATCATTTAAGCTTCCCCATGACACCACAAGCCTTGCTGTCCCCATTTTCCTGATGGAAAAACAGGCCTAGAGAGGGGAAGTGACTTATCGAAGGTCACCTGTCCCAGCCAGCCCATCCCAGCATGTGGGCTCTTCCCCCCCACTCATAGGCCCCCTGGGAAAGCACATGGGTACCGAGCATGTTTGTGAGTGTTGTGTACATTTGTTACGTGTCTCTGTGTGGGTGTACTTGTGTACCTCTAAGGCTACAGAGAGCACGTGCACACCATACTCACCCAGCGATGTATGTGGGTTTTGTGTGTGCATGCATGTCTGTCCTGAGTTCAGCTGACGCTGTGAGCTCGTCTGTGTCTGAGGGTGGGTGGGAGTACAGACGTGTGTTTGGCAATGAAGCGTGTCTGAGGAAGGCTGTTTGCATGTGTGCAAGAGCCATGCAGGCTCCAGGACAGAGCAGCTCAAATCTTGGGATGATTCTACAGCCATTTATTGTGCTCCAGTGAAGTAGAAAAAGTGCTCTAGTTACAAACACTGCTGTCACATCCATACACCAGTCTCTGCAAACCAAACCGCGTGTGTCTGCTGGGTCTCTGGGCATGCAGTTGGCTCCCACTCTGGGAATGGGGTGGGGGCAGGCTGAGCCTGGGCTCTGGGGGGCTTTGCTTGGGGAGCTTCTTGTCCTGGAGGAGACCCACCTGGGAGGGAGTGGGGGGATAGCAGGGTAGCTTTGCTCAGTGCTTCCTTTGGGTGCTGTTGGGAACACCCGGCTCAGTGTTGGACCCTGCAGCGCTCCAGGGAGGAGGGCTCCCTCCCCCCCATAGGACACCCCAGTCTGCTCCCCCTAAATGCTAACCCTGTAGGCAGGTGCCAGGGGCTGAAGGGCGCCATGCAGGGGGCAGCGGGGCCAGGCTAGGCCCTGCCGATAGCAGCAGCCAGCCTCCCTGGGGGACGGCAGGAGGCCCAGGGCTCTAGGCGGAGTTGTAGTAGTTGTGTGGGTGGTGGTTATGGGCAGGCTCGCCCAGCTCCGGGTACTCAGGCGTCAGGCAGTACTTGGGGTCGTAGACCTGGCGCGGGAGCCCGTACACCGTCATGCCCTGCTGCGAGGCCCCCTTATTGCTGCCCATCTGTAGGCTGATGTTGAGAGTGTCGCAGTGCTCCATGCCCAGGCCCGGCTCGAAGATCTGCCTCTTGGTCCCAGGAGCTGTCATGCCGGCCTGTGGAAGGCGGTGCAATCAGGCCATGGGCCTGGTGAGGGGCAAGAGCCCCACCAGCCCGCCCCACGGCCCCCCACACACCTGGCTGGCTCCCTTGTTGGTGCCCATCTGTAGGCTGATGGTGGCCTGGTCCAGGGGCTGGTCCGTGCGCAGCTTGGGGTCGTAGAGGTGGCGCCGGGTGCCATAGGCTGTCATGCCCTGCTGGCTGGCAAACTTGTTGGTACCCATCTAGGGATCCAGAAGGAGAGTCACCTGATGGGTCACAGAGCCTCACCACGGACCGCAGACGTGCCTCGGCCGGGGACACAGGCCCTCTCACCAGGCACCGTTTCCACCCTCAGGCTACAGACTGGAAACAGGCCCAGAGAACCGTCACAGCCCAGCAAGTGGCTCAGCACACCCAGGCCTGACTTCAGGGGTTCGAGTCCCAGGTTGACCCCTCACTGCCTGCGTAACCCTGAGGAGTGAGCTGGCTTCTCCAGGCCTCGGTGTCTGCACACATGGGATGAGGCTAACAGTACCTACCCTCTAGAGCTTTGGGAGCAATGAGTTATGGTACAGAGTTAGAGCCCAGTGCCTAACATAGAGTTTAATTAAGGCCAAATATGCTGGCCCCCAAAGCCTGCAGGGAACGGGAACCTTCCTGGCCTCCTCAGCTGCCAGCCTCAGCCGAGACCCAGGTGGGGGAGGGGCAGTACCTGCAGCCCAATGATGTTCCGCCCTTCTCGAAGCTTCTCGGGCTCAAATTTCCGCTCCTGCTTCTCGGCATACTTGACCCCCACATTCACCTTGTTCCCTTTTGTCTTGGCCTGGGTGAGAGGGAGGAGGGCAGGCACTGCCGAGGGAGCCTCTGGCTGCACTGTCCCCCTCCTGCCCCTGCTCTGCCCTCCCACCCACACTGGGCTCAGGGACACGAGTGGCCCCATTCACATCCCAGCACAGATGGTCCATCGTCCCTTTGTCCCGTGCCCTCCCGTGGACTACACTCACCATGCTGGCCAGGGCCAGGAGGGTGGACTGCACCTGGGTGTGGTTGGTGTTTTCGAACAGGTCATTTGCCTCAAAGATGTCATGGGGCTTCACACCGTACTTGGTGATGGCTTTGATGAAGTTGCCTATGTTCTCCAGCTGGAGGGGAGCAGGCGGCAGTCAGTGGGCGGGGGTTGGTGTCTGAGGGGCTCTGGTGAGGGGTCGAAAGGTGGAAAGAGTCTGGGCTCACCTGGTGCCAATTTTGTGTTGACTCGTTGATCTTCTTCACGGAGCCTGGCTGGAGCTTATTGATGAACCTGAAAGGAGTAGGGGAGAGGAGTGACAAAGGCGACCCCCGCTGCCCCACCCAGGCCCAACCCCACAGGGTAAGGGGCCAAGAGGACTTTAGGTAAGCAACATCCGTGTTGCTGTTTCTCACTGCAGTCCGCTCTCAGCTGGAACCCCAGCCCCACCCCTGCCACAGTGCACCCCCAAAACACAGGCAGGACAAGATGGGAAACAAAGCACAGGAGTTGGACTTTTCTGATGTAGGGGGGGTCCCCTGCTGT